GAGCGACGCTTGATATATGAAGGAGTACGTCCATACCTACCCACCGCTGTATCTACCTGCAAAGTAAACTAACCAGCTAGTTTAGCCGGTCGTTTATGTGCATGTGTACATGCGTAAGCCCACTTTGGCTGCCTGGTGATGGGAGGGCACGCAGCTTCTTCGACAGCTGGAGCGGCTTTTGGCGGACATTGCTGTCGGGGCCCTTGCAGGGTCTGGGTGTTCTGACTCATCATCTGCAGCTTCCAACCTGCAGCAAGCATTATGAACTCTGCAGTTGCAAAATTGAAATATGGTGAAGACGAGGATGCGGAAACAATTGTTGTCGCCGTTGTTGGCGGTGGTGGTGGTGTGACATAATGCTTCTCATGATCGCGATGCCGGTGCTGCTGCTGCTTCAGGGGCGGCCAAGCGTGCGTAACAAGTTAAGGAGTTGACTTTCGTCTTCACCCCAACACATTTGAGGCAGCCGTCGAGGTGGAGCAGCGGACCCGGTCCTTGCAGGCTTCGAAAGATGCCAAGGCCCAGGGAAGCTGAGCGGATCGGCCGTCGGGGGCATCCTGGGGCTTTAGGAGGGAGCATCTATGCCAAGGCCCAGGGAAGCTGAGCGGATCGGCCGTCGGGGGCATCCTGGGGCTTTAGGAGGGAGCATCTATGCACTGTGTGACATAGACCCCGAATCTCAACGAGAAAGTTGCGAACATCACTCGAACCATTGTCAACCATAAGTGTCAAGTTGACTTGTTCTGCAGGTGCCGCCAGAGTTGCTGGCCGCAGCCGAGCTGCAGCTTGCTCGGCTCAAGCACCTGCACGAGGTGCGGTGGTTTTAAGGGTTTGGGATGAACGCTTTAATGTTCACGGGTTTCGTTGTCAGGGATCCCTTGCCGGAACTTGAATCTTAGGATTCGGAGCAGCCACAATGGGCAGCAAAACTACCAAGACGACTGGCACCTGGAATGGTGTCGATCCGAGAAGCAGCAGCAGCAACAACGTGAAGGGTGGATCCTTTTTGTGCCACCGGTGCCAACAACGACCCAATAAATCCTTGTGTTTGGCAGGACACAATCCCAAAGCCAGAGCCGTTTTGTACATGTACATAGCCAATCAAAGCCTTCAAAGCACAGTCTTTTACTTGATCTCCCTCTCCCCGAATTGAAATCTGAAGGCTGAATCCCGGAAGACTCAGCAGCTCTGACTGATGAACTCCTGAAGCCGTGAAGCCTAACCCTGAAGGCCCAACGCTTTGTACTGCCCTGACCCTGACGCCTTTTGCGGCCGAAAAGCCTTGCGAGGTTCTGCGAAAAGGTGACGTCCCAGCAACTCGCCGGGCCTTGCGGCTGGCAGAGGCTTGGCAGACTGTCCCGCAGCAGTTCTTGGACTAGTTGGTGGGCATTATAGGGGTTTAGAAGTGGCGTACGTCGTAATTCTGCGTTTTTCGGCTTTGGGGGCTCAAGGGTCGAGGTTTTGGGGGCAGAAGTCTGGCCTCCTTCGTGCTTCCGTGGTTCTGGGTCTTCGCGTTCGCATGGTGATCATCTTCCCTTTGTCCATTTGACGCATCTACATCTACCTCATTGGAGCCATCGAGCCTAAAGCAACTGAACCTGGAGAGGCGACAGGAGATGGACCAGGGGACCCAGCCTGTAAGGAAATAGCTCCACTGGTGATTGGTCAATGAGCAGAGGTCGCCGGTTGTAAGGACCAGGAGCTTGCCACGGCCTCAGCCAGTAAGGTTTGAAGCTTTTGGTTGGGCTTAAGACGTCGACTCAAATGACGACGAGCCCATGTCGAAGCCAGCACAGGCGGCTGGTATATGTCCATCTGTGCTTGGTTGTGCGTGTCGCTACCGACGAGCTCCCTACTGTAACCTCAGGAGTTGAGTCAATGCACGGGCGTCTACTCAAGCCCAAGAGGCTTTGGCAGGGTTCAACCGCATTCGACTTTTCGGGTCGTCGCCTTCAGGATGTCAGGACGACTCTTCAGAAATCTGGGACCCAGTGCAGACATAGAACCTCTCAGCTTCAGAACAAGCCCTTGCCAAGGCCGAGCCCCGTGCGGCGCACCTGCAGTGGAGCGTTCTGGCCAGGGAGCTCGACATCGCGGCGCGGGGCTCTGATGGGGACATGTTCCTTGGGGTGGGAGATGATGCTGAACTGTTGGCGCCGCCATCCAGAGCAGGCCTTGAAATTCATCTGTGGATCTGCTGTTCTGTTTGCTCATGACACTTGCTTTCTTGCAGCCCTTCGTGCTCAAGATACTGCGGACGATGCGAGGGGAGCGTCTAACGGACGGCTTCCAAGGCCGTGGTACCCGACCGAGTTCTCTCGTCGAGCCCCTGCGGCGCGAGACACCGTATGACAACGTGCGTCGACCATTCGGAATGCGGGGTGGCGGCCAGATGCAGACGGAGGCAGAGGCATGGATGTGGGGAAGCTTCGCCAGAAGAGTACAACAGGCGACAGTTGGCTACAGCCTGCCCCTGCTCAGAAAGGTGCTCACAGCAGGGCTCGCCGTGTCGGGGTTTCCACACTGAACCGACGACAAAGCAGCTCATCACAACTAGGCGCCATCAGGGCACAGGGTTCACCAAGACCTGTCGAAGGTGGCAGAGACTTGTCCGGGGAACAGGTTCAGCAAGTTCAGAAGCTCTTGCTCAAGTTTTTGGTGCCGACGACTGGGACGACAAGGCTTCTAGTCCCTGGGATCCAAAATTGATTCTTTGGACAATGCTTTCAAGTGGCAGTGTCTCTTCGCCCCAAGAAGAGCTTCACATCTTCACATGCACTCTCGGTGGTTCCTTCTACGGGCTTAGGTGCAGCCTTGAGCTGCTCGAAAGTTCTCGGCTATTCGCAGTGCACTTCTTCGGCTTCTCGTCCAAAGCACAGAGCCTCTAGCTGTGAGTGTTCTCGAACTCTCTCGCCATGAAGCGCCCTCTGGATGTTTCCACGACAATGACGACAGTGCCGCAGATCGCAGAGAAAGTTGAGTTGTCACATTTCCGCAAAAACATGAGCAGCGCTGGTGGTTTCAGGAGTACTTCGTTCCCGGCTGTCAAGGCGTTGCCGATGAGGTGGGATACCAGTGGAACGAATGCCTCCAGCTTCTATCAGCAAGAGCAGATCTAGGTCCCGAAGCTTGCCGCGGGCCCCATGCCAAGAGACAGAGCTCCGTCGAGGTGAGGAAATGCAAGTGGTTGCAGGATTCCTTGCGGAATAGTCTGAAGATTACTGGTTCGGGAGGCAGCTCTGGGTCTCTCAGCAGCTTCCTGAGCCTTGCCAGGCCAAGCCGAAACGAATTAATTCGATCGTATGCTCTCGCAGACGCCAGGCGTCCAAAAGCGATTTGGCGGGTCGTGGGCAGCCTTAGAAGCCCTAAGCATATCATAAACCTTAGAAAGCCCAAGTCGCAGGTGAGAAGCCCGAACGTCTTGAGCTTGATTCTCAAAGCCCTAAACCCCGGCAAAACCCTAAACATCCCTAAACTTCCTAAACCCTTAAATCCTGAACCCTAAGCTCAAGCTCTTAACCTTGAGCCCAGGTCTCCATCGGAGAGACGGACCGTATCAGGGCTGCCCTCGACCAGACGGCGCAGAGCGGCATCTGCCAGGCGCCGTCGTATCTTCGGGTCTGGAGTCGATCGATATATATATATATATATATATATATATATATATACATATGTGTATATATATATATAGATAGGATAGTCTGATATACGCAGTATGCTGCGCTAGCCTACTCATTACTCCAGACTAGACGAGAGCAGATTAGATATTTTCTCCAGAATGATACCAAATTCGGGCTTACGTTATGCTGGGTTTGAGATGTTTGAAGCCTTCGATGCGTTGTTCCCAGGCGCAGCTGCAGCCGGCCATCGAAGCCCTCGAAGCTTTCAAGCGCTCGGATGCCGCCATCGAGAGCCTCTCCCAGGCTGGAAGACTCCCGGTTTTGAAGGGTTTTTGCTTGCAGCATCTACGGCAAAAAGCCTGAAAGTAGCTATGAACCACTTAATATGGACCGTTTTGGCCCTAGAAAAAAAATGCGAAGCCAATGATGCTACAGAGTGGTTCTAAAGCCGGTCTTGCCAAAGCACTGAGCATCAGAGCTGCAGAGCGATCGCCGTTAGCTTGTACCGTGCCATGACTATCACAGAGTGCGTGTGTGCTACTAGCCCTATCTCTTCAATCTGCAAATTCACCTTGGCTGCGCATTCCAGCACCCGGCATCTAGTCGCTCTGCTGAAAGGAAGGGCCGACACCCTGTGGCTCGGTGCGCAGTTGCATATGTAGGCAGTCAATGCCAAAACTCCCAACCGATCTTCACCTGCTGCGGAGTACTTGCTGATCCAGGGTGGTGCCTGTTGAAACCTTTGAACTGTTACAAACACTGAAAAACCAGCTTTGGACTTGCGGCATCATGTTTCGCAGCAGTGCCAAGACAAGCATTTGCACCGAAGCGGAGGCTGCTAAGATGTCTTTCCATCTCATGAGCTCCCCCAGAAACTTGCTGAATTCAAGCCGTGCGTCTGAGCAGCTTCTTTTAGCATGCTCATTTGAGCGCCAATCGGCAGTTGACGGGAGGCCATGGACTCCTGCGATGCGGAGCTGATCTACCAGGCCCTCCATTCTGCGTGCCAGGACAGCGTGACAGACAGCGTGCGGCGCCCGGTTGTAGGATGAGGCTGCAATGTTGCATCAGCAATCGCGCAAGTGGCTTCAAACTGACAAGTTTTAGTGTTCAATTTCGCAGCCGTACTCTGGAGCTCGGGTTTGTTGTTGGGATTTAGGCTTTGATTGGAGACGGAGATGCAGCCCCTCGAGTTCAACTGCAAAGGCATCTTGTGTACAGCTCCTGATAAGCCTCCGGGTTCCCATCGGCGACTGGGTTCAGGGTTGGTACTGCCCCCAACCTTCAACAGTCCATAAAACGAGGGATCACATTCAGGGCGATATATAACCTACATTACGTAACTGCGCAAAAAACAAATTCAACACAACATAATTAAGAACTATACTATATACACATATGTATATATGTATATATGTATATATATATACACATAAAATATATATATATATATATATATATATATATATATATATAGACTATCCAAAAACGATAGTGTTGACAATACTATTTGGGCTTCGAGCTCTTCGCTGAGGAGCTCCTGGCCGGTGCACGGTCTTTGCTGGATCGCCTCCTCGGCCTCCGGCAGCAGCTGACGCGGGCAATGGAGGCCCGGCCCTGCTTTTGGGGGGTTGGAAGTTGTGGATTCATTCTTTCTCTATACTATGTTTATTGCTAGATCGGTATGTATAGCTACATCTACCTCAATATCTATATCTGTATCTGTATATCTATTCGAAGATGGTTCTTGTAGTGCTTCTGTGGCTTGGGGCTCAGCGTCCGGGGGGTCGAGGGGGAGCGACGCTCCAAGCGCCGACCTTCAGTTTCTGGATCAAGACGGGAAGGAGGTGCTCAAAGGCAGGGTTGAGAATTCATGCTCAAGGCCTGGCTGTGCCGAAACATTGTCCCTCCCCACAAAAACGCAGGCGGTATCGTAGGTCGCAGCTCGTGCAGCAGATTGAAACTGAAGTCCTGGACCTCTGAGTTTTCTGGGCGTAAAACCCTAAAAACACTACAGTCTCATCTGCGGTGGTGTCTTGCACGCTCGGCTCCCGACGCTTGGGAGTCAAACGCGAGAAGCCCTTAAAGCCTGCGGCTGAACCCTAAACCCCAAAAGCCCCAAAAACCCTTAAGCCCTGAAGCCCTTGAACCCTGAAGCCCCTGAACCCCACGAGCCCTCCACTGAACTCCGAAAGCGAAAAGTGGAATCGGATGCGGAAGCCATGGGCAGCTCTGGGTCTGTGCCAGACCAAGGCGGTGAGGGGAGGACCGCGTGGAAACGGAGGGCTTGAGACTTTCTAGCGCGTTTACAGGGTAGAGTGTAAAGTGTAGAGGGCTGTTGGGGCCTTCTAGGCTTTAGGGCGTTGCTTGGGGCTTCAGGCTTTATACAGTTTGGGGGTGAGGGCATACACCTTCTACGGTTAGGGTCTCGTGACTCTTGTGTTTGTCAGGGCTTATCGGGTTGAGACGTGCAGTGAGGCATTGAGGCTTTCTTCAGGGTCCTAATACTCAGCATTGTCCGCACCTCCCTGCCAGGACAAGCACCGAAGCCGAAGCACATGACCGGGCCGGAGAAGAGCAGCCGCAGCGTGGCCGCGGTCTTCAGGACTCGTAAGTCGTAAGACTTGGAGGACCATGCCGCATACTCCAGGAGGATCGAATCGAGCCAGTGTGCCGAGTACAGAGTATAGAGTAGGACGGAGTTGCGCCAGCCAGACATAAGTTTGTGTCATGGAGCTTGCTAAGGCACCCGGGCGAGCTCAGGGTCACGGTGATCTTTGCTACGAGCGGCGAGACCCACTCAGTAGTTGCCCCTCGGTGAATACATCGTCCGGTGACAGCCGCAGCTTCCGCCCGCATAGACCGCGAACCCTCAAAATTAGGTCTTTTTGGGTACCCTTAAGTGCCGTATCATAATAGGGACCCCAAAAAGGGACCCTAATTTTGACAGCCACCCATATCTTAAGTCCCGTGATTGAAACTCACACCATCCCGTCATGGTCCCATAGCCGTGTTTGATCCCGACAATGATGCCCATCTCCAAATGTCAAGCAACAGGCTCTTCAAAGGCTAGATCCCTTCCAGTTCCTAATGATGGCACACCAAGGCTTTCAGCCTCTCCAGGCAATACGCGACATAATCTCATCATGGTTGACGTGGTGCTGCTGTTTTGAGCGCATGTCTGTACATACTTCTTGACTTTAATTGATTAGAGTACCAGGTTCTGTTGGGAGCTCACTGGGCTCGCTAGAAAACATTACAGGTAGTATGTATCATTTAAGATGTTTATCTACTGTACATTAATATAGTTCGTTATACCAGACTATAGTCTACTACATCAGAGTCATAGTACATGATGCTACACTCGTATACAAACCTACATGAAGCCCAGATGCTGCCCGCCGGTGCCCTGGTTTCCGACCTCGCCAAGGCTTGGCTTCGGCTGCTTCTGGGAAGCTCTTTGGGGTGGTTTTGCGGTATACGATTTAGGGTTTGGGGTTTAGGGTTTAGGGTTTTGGGTATAGGGTTTTGGGTATTATGGTTTGGGCTCTAAAGATGTTCCGATGCTTCCGGACAAAGGGGTGTGCTTTTTGGAATTTAGGGGGTGGGCCATGTTGTTTTGCTTTGTGATTTTGGGAAGTTTGGAGTTTCAGTAGCAGTCGTTTTTTGGGTGTCGGTGTCCAGGCACTGGACGAGACCAGCAAGGTCCCTGGCAAATGCAGCAGCTTCCTTCGAGATGGGGTGCCTCTGCGCATGGAGGAGCGGTTCCTGATCGGTAGCATAGTTGCCCGAAGTGTTTACACCCTGAACAGCAGAGTCGACGGCCGTCGCCAAGCTAGGGACGTGAATGCACTGAGAGGATCGTTTGGCCTGCAGCCGTGGCGCAGGCGTGGAGGAGGTGAAGATTCAGCTGGTGGTCTGATGCCCAGGCTTCCCTTACCTACAGCGAGGCTGCATTATAAAGCTGACGTTTGCGCAAGATCTCTGAGATCTGGATGTAAACCCGGACCAGGTCCACAGCCTTGTGGGGCGCTGGACCTGGATAAAGGGCGAGAGGCGGGACGAGCAGGCCCGTGCGAGCCTTGAGAACCCAGATGCCTGTGCCCTCTTGTGACGTTTCCAAACACTGCAGCAAGATTTAATGGCATCTGTTTCCGATAGGGATTCATCTGTGTCCAGAGAAAGCTGCAGGAGGCGCATGACTACGAGTGTCACGTTCTTCTGCTGCGCGGCGACGGCCGAGCCCAGTTCAACCAGTTTCATTCCTGGCGGCCGGCGGCTTAGACTCCTCAGCTTCCCAGGATTCATCATAGAAATGCCAAGAACAGGCAGCACCATGGTTGATAAAAGTAATCGTAGCAATCCTAATGACCATCAATCAGAATAAGGATGAACAAGAATAAGCAGGATAAATCATCCTGACTGTTTCGCGTCTTTGCCCGCAAGATCTGAAGGGTTCGAGAAGTTTGGGAGTTGCCTTGAGATCCGACGGGGGCTGCTCCACTGTAAGGAGCCTTCCTTCAAGGGTTAGTCGGAGATGCTTGCCGGCCACCTTCACCTCCGCTGTTTAGCGAGATTGCATGTTCAGGAAAGACAACGAGAACTATGGCTCCAAGAGGACAATGATCGGCTGCAAGGAACGGGGTGGTCCACGAGACCAGCTGAGCAGCCAATTCCTTCAGGGAGACGACTTGAAAGACGAAGGCTGGGAGCTCGGAAGAATGGGAGCGACAAAGAAGGTCACCAGCTGCCTTCATCGTATGCAGCATGTGGCTGACTGCCGCGAGCATACTCTACTATATCATGGGTTCAAGCTCTGTCTTATACAATGTAGAAGCACATGTATACGCCTGTATTTATTTGTTTTCTCGTATGACATTTCTTTGAGCATGCTGTTGTGTTCATGGACATGCATGCATATGCGTGTGTGCATACAGGTCATAAAGGTCCATGTAGATGAGAAGGCACACTGAGAATTAGAGATTTTCACATGCTTGTAGTAGGAAATGCGAAGCCAGATTCGTAATACTCCGTCAGTACCAGCCAATACTTCATGGAAAATGCTGCGTGAAGGTCGAGGCGTATGGGAGGTGCAGCATGACCCGGAGCCCACCCTTTGTGTCAGCGGGCCTGGCTTCGTCTCTGCCGGGATCATCGAAGATGACGACCTGGTGGCCCACGGCGCGGGAGCGATCCCGCACGAAGTCTTCGTCGTGACCCTCCGCGAGCTGCTAGCGAGCTTCGAGTTCTCCAAAGACTGAGCCTGCGCAGCGAAACAACCGACATGCGCCCGACGATCGCCCGCCCGCGGAAAAGAGGATGGCAGCAACGCAAGCAAATACCAGGTATAGAGCGGTAGACTTTGGTAGACCGAAGCGAATCGCTGGTGTGCAGAAACGTCCACCCTGGATCCGGTGCTTCCCTGCCTTTCGCAACTCCTTGCAGTCCATGGATCTCCAGCGGCTGCACCAAGCCGTCGTGGAGGCCGGCGAGCCCTGACGTTACACTACGGTGCATCATAACCATTTTCTAAGCGATATCATGTAGCACATTATGCTGCAGGTTTTTTGCCCTCAACTGGACCCTCAATCCTTTATCCTCATTCCCATCTCGAACTTGAGATACTCATCCGTATGTGCTCTGTAGGCGGAGCAGGAGGATGGCCTGCCGGAGAAGGACCGGAGCCATCAGGGCCCCAGAGGCTTTTGTTTTTTTGTACACTTCGTTTTGGGAAGGGACTTGTTGGTGTTAACAAAAGAAGTAATAATAGCTGAGTCATCTTACTAATGGTAATTATATTTGTAGTAATTGTTGATTCCTGGAGCCGCTTGCCTGCAACTGATGGAGTTTTCGGCGAACGGCAAGTCAAGTGACACTGCAGTCGCGACATGCCGAACACTTCACAGTGCAGCGCACAAGTCTTGGAGTTCTTGGCTTTCGCAGTCGCAGTTGTAGTTGCTTCCGGGTGTGAATAGATCGTACTTCCTCAAGCTGCTTGGTTTTCCGACATAGTGCAGAGGATTTGGCCAGCGCGCTGAAGAGCCTGGAAGACCTGAAGGCGCGAAGTGGATCAATCTTTAGGACATGGAAGGAGAAGTCAGTGAGTCAGCCAAGTTTTGCATCGGTGGCAAGCGGCACAATATATCATAAACGTCATACTACATACCCATTACCATGTACAAAATTCTATATACATTTCTAGCTTATACTCTCTCTCTCTCTATATATATACATGTTATGTATTATATACATATATATATATATATATACATGTGTGTGTCTGTATGGTGCCCCCCCTGTACCAACCGTTTGCCTGCCTTCCCCAGTGGTAAAAACACACCAAACAGGTAGGTACATAGCATGTACGTATGTATATACATATATAGTTTATTCACTGTTTCTGTCAACAAATTACAATAATACACCATGTCTCTGCGTGCCCTCGGCCCGAGGAGGAGGAGCTGAGTCGTCTCGAAAGGCATCTGAAGCAGGCGCCGAGTTTTGCGTGTTCGCGTTTCAGGTTTTGCAGTACAGGGTTTTTGGTGTCTTGGATTTCCAGGTGTTTGCGGTGAAGCTGCGGTGCGGGCTTCGGTTCACAATCACAGCTGATGGGCGAAGTGCTTTCTACTCCCTGCAAGACCTCCTACTAGAGTTCGAGTCAACCTTACTCCGCTAAAGTCAAGGGCGCCCAAGATGAATGCGGACCCTGATAAAACAGTCCCTCAGCTCGCCGGACCCTTCCTTTTCTCAGCAAGCCTTGTGGGGCCCGAAAGCTGACATCCTCCAAAGCGAAGCACCCCTAAACCCTAAACCCTAAACCCTAAACCCTAAACCCTAAACCCTAAACCCTAAACCCTATAAACCCTAAACCCTAAACCCCATGACAGCTGTTGGAGGCTTCGGAAGTGGGAGACTTCCGCTCCTTGGATGGGCTGCTCCGACGCGCGGCCCTGGGCCGGGACCTGGGAGTGGAGGCAGCTGCGGGGAAGCTCAGGGCGTAGTGAAGGGTTTAGGGGTTTAGGGTTTAGGGTTTATGTAGGGGTTTAAGGGGTTTAAGGGTTTAGGGTTTAGGGGTTTGAGGGGTTTAGGGGGTTTAGGGTTTGGGGGCTTCGGGTTCAGGGTGCAAGGTGCACGGTGAAGTTTTTCAGAACAGTGGCGGGCAGCCGGACCGCCATTGATCGCCAAGGCCACGGAGGTAGCACACAACTTCCATTGGGATATTTGCCGCATGTTTTAAGACTACAAGTTCGCTATGTGACTTGCATCCATCTGTACATAAATCCCTGCCAGCACAGATGCACGTATCTTTCCATCTGTGGATCCAGCGGTCTAGCTACAGACGGAGAAGCCTGGACTTGTGTGTGCACGTGCAAATCCATGCATAGAGAACCCCAATTCGTCAACAAAGCCATACGGTAATACATGCACGTACATGACAATGATTTACGTTGCTTAACAGCACCCGTGCACATTCGCATACATTGTACACATGCATGCACACAGGCACACAGACACACAGAGACAGACAAACAAAGACAGGCAGCCACAGACACACGACAGACACAGACAGACACAGACACACGCAGACCGCACAGACAAACAGACAGACGCGCACAGACAGACACACGGACGGACGGACAGACAGACGGAAAGACATGCATACACGCACATGCCTTGGTAATGACAGAGTGAAGCCGGGAGAACTGGATGGTAGCATCTCTGAGCCGGCTATAACAAGCTACCGGTGCCTTCCAGGCATTTCGGCTGTGCCTTGGCTGTTGTCGGCGTTTGAAGTTATCGTCGCGGCAATGTCGCCGGCGTTGGTGCGATCCTTGCTTTTAGCGGGATGTCTCCATGGCGTCTTTGCAGAATGCAACGTCTACCTGGAGACTCAGACGATGACGGGGCCGGGTGTATGCACCGAAGACGGGGTAGCTGCCATGACAGCCCCAGAGGACCGGGTTTCCTGATTCCTCATGCAGCTACCATGCCCATGACTGTTCATGACTATGTGGAGCCTTGGTAGCGTTACGTTTAGCATTGTGACACATTCTTTAGCTGCTGTGAGCCCTGAGGAGAAGCAGTTGGGGGAGTGCCTTCACGAGTGTTGGGCTAGCTATGTCATCACTTCGCAGCCGGCTAAGGGGGCCAATGCTGCGCTGGCGAAGCCAGAACGGGACAGCTGTTCGACGAATTTCGAGATCATTTGCAGCACTGTGGAGCTTTCCTGCACCAAGCCCTTCGGCGAGTTCCCAAATGCCTGCAGCGGTACTGTGCCCTTGGCACAGATGCAACCTAATGCCTACTACTTGGCCTTCTATGCTTACAGCCAGGAAGCCGGGGGCGGGAACTCGGAAAAGGTCTTGGCCACTCGGGTGGTTACTGGCAAGGAACCGCCCGAGATCTGCTCGGGAACATACGGGGTCAGGAAGGCCTTTGGTGACAACTGCTTTGGCCTAACCACCAACAGTCAAGAAGCGGGCCCTGGGCGTGACCCGCCTCAGCCGCCAGCAATCGACAACATGCCCGCCCAGTTTCCACCCGTGGAGCCGAACAAAGAGCCGACCACCAGCACCAGCGCAAGCACCAGCACTACAGACCCCGTGCCTGACAACGGCAAAACAGTTAAGTACGGCCTTGGCGACTTTCTTCCTTGGGTTGCGGGTGTTTGTGCGCTCCTCCTCGTGATCGGGGGTGGGCTGTACGTTCGCCGTTCCAGGCAAGCCGAAGAGCAGAGGGCTCTGAGGACTTCGACGGAGGTTGAGATTCAATCCGTGAATTCCCTGAATCGCTTCTGAGATGCCGAGAGGGCGACTCAGCGTTTCACACGGAAGCTTGCGCCAATGATCCAAAACCTCAGAGCGCCGATTGCCACAAGGGTAGCACGCTCATGAGGTCAAGATGTCCTCTTCAGCAGCATCTTCCGTCCTATGAGAACCCATAATAAGCTACAGCGAATTGCTCTTGCAGGTGGAACGCTTGGATCTCGAGCGCCACGAGGGGCTTGTGGTTGAGCTGAAGGAGGGTCTGCAGCTTTAGAGTTTCAGAGGGTTTTGGGCAAGTCACTTGTTGCTTGCTCCTGCATGATGTAGAAGACAAGCCGACCCCAAATCAATTCTCGATGCCTGCTCCCTGTCCTCAGAACTGTCAGACAACCCTGAGCCCAGCGCCTCAGATGGGCAGGAGGCTCACATTCGCATGATCCAGGCCGAACTCGGGGGCGGGCCTCCAGTTCCCTCGCAAAGTGCTCGCATTGTGGATTGCAAGACTCGGTCAACAAGGTAGCAGTAGCAGTGACATTGAAGGAACATCAGGGCTTCCAGTCAGACAAGTACAAGGAACGGCATTCTTGGCAATCCGGCTATCATGTTTGGGAGAGTTGGCAAGTTGGGAGAGTTAACAAAAGCCATAGGATAACACCACAAACATGCAAGCCGAACTCGAGCCTGTCCGCCCTGCACGGATCAGACACTGTAGCAGATCTGAGGTATTCCGAAGCCCGTTCAAACTGGCCCGAAGCACCACCCTCGCTGCAGAATGCTGTTGCTCAGGGAGGGTCCAAGCAAGAGCCGCCGACCTTGCGATCGTTGAAGGCAGCTGTAATCCAATCTAGACGCTTCCGCTGGTGCCAGGACGACATTCATAAGCAACAGCGCCGGGATTGGCCGATGCCTCGGTTTCACCCCACCACCTCCACACAATGCTGCACCTTAACTTGTTAACCAAGCCCTGTGTCCTTCGCTCTGTCTGACGAACTTGCAAGCCTAAATCCTGACCTTTGCTGCCCAAGGCCAGCCGTTCTGGACGTGATCCCACGAGAGGAGGAGGGGAGACAGTGTTTAAGGGTCGGTGCAGAGGGTTGGATTCAGTCTCGAGGTGGACGCTGGAGGCCCCAGGCCCTATGTACACAGTCATCAGTCACCTTGCATTTCTTGACGATTGTTGCATGTCTATGTTTCAAATCTACACGTATCTACACATGTATGTATGGATGTATGCATGTACATATGCGTTTATGCTTGCATGCATGTAGATGTAGTTGTAGATGTAAATGCAAATGTAAATGCGTGCATGTATGTATATGTGCGTACACATGTGTGTACACATGCGTGTACGTGTGCGTGTATACGTGCGTGGATAGGTGTGTATGTATGTGTGTATGTATGTATGTAAGTATGTAGGTAGGTATGGATGCATGCTTGTATGCATGCATGTGCGCAGCATGCACGCATGCTGCAGCACGCATTCACGCATTCACGCATGCATGCACGGATGGATGGATGGATGGATGGATGGATGGATGTACATGCTTGGCTGAAACGTGCGAGTGCGGTCACCAGTCGTCCTGCAGCCGGATTGTCATCGAGACAATGACGTGTTGTCACTGCCCTTCTCCACTACGGGGGGAACCTTTGCAGTCCCTGGCTCGTCAGGTTTATAGCCCGGGGCCTTGAAGCCTTGATGACGGGCAGGGCGCGGCCTTCTCAAGCTGAGATTTTTGGGTCAGGGTCCGCCATACAGTCTATAAGGTTTACGTTGATCACAACACTGTGAGGGCAAAGTGAAGAAACCTGACGTAGGTAGAGCCTCCACCACCCAGGCGAGTAGATGTCAGCTCAACCCTACACCCCCAAAGCCAGTTACGCCCCCGACAGTAAACGCAGGATCAGGCGGTCCCGGAGCTTGTGGAGGTCGTGCAGCTGCCCTCTGCTATTGCACGGGCCCCGGAATCAAATGGGAGTTTCCGAAAATAGGGGACCCTAGGATACTACCCTACATAGTAGGATCCTTATTATAAGGACCCCAAAATAAGGTACCCCTAGTTTTCGGAAACTCCCAAATCTTGAAGTTTCAGGTCTGTAGACCTACCTTGCAATCCCCTGTGATATCAGCGATATGCACATATATACATACATATATCTCATGTATATTGACATTGACATGTGTACTTGTTCATGCCACGTTAAATCATGCGTTTTTACTGTTTTTGTAGGACATTCCCAAGTTTTCTGTTGCTGTCTAGGGGGTTGGAGGGGGGAATCAATAGCCTCCGGCCGTCGCATATCCTTCGAGTGCGCATCATGACGGTCATCCTGATGATGATGCTTAAGATGATGAATATGTTGGTGATGGTAACGATGATTATGACCATGGTCATGATCATTATGATGATGACAATCCTGATGATGATGTTGCTGATGATGATAATGCCCATGACGACGGTCCTCATGATGAACTGATTAAGATTGTAATGATGCTGATGTCGATGATAAAGACGATGGTGTTGCTGATGATGCTGCTGATGATACGGCTAATCCTAAAAATGCAGTAGTCTCCGTGACGTGCCACAAACCTGTTGCACCTGCTTTTTTGCAAAACTCGTGCTGACATCGCAGTTTCGCGCACTGAGTACGAAAGTAACGCGGCGCCTGGCACCCATATAGTTATTGGGCTGTTGCATACACAGACGTGGCCGTTTGTGCAGACTTTGACCGGATGCAGCTTGTAGGGTATCTGAGAAGTGAGATTTCTGGTCCTTGGGCAGGATGTCTTGTATCAGGAACCCACGGGGCTGGGATCACCTCAGCTCCGCTTAACTCTTTTGGTCTTGACCGTAGGGCTTGTCCGCAAGCCCGCGTCGACATATGTAGGGAGACGAACAGCTATGCGCAGCTTAGCGGCTTAGAAAGGCTTAGCCTTTGCCTTCGCGTCTCACAGCCTGTTTGGTGTGTCTTGCCCAAGCGAATCTGCTAATCTTCGCGGTGTTGGTGTGAGCTTCAAGCCCTAGAGTCCCAGAGGTCTGTGGTGGCGTCTCGCTGGACCTCTACCCCAGGGGAATCCAGGAGGAGTTCATCACCCTACCGTGGGAAATTGTTGAGGCCCCTCAACACCAAGTAGCTGAGGGTCTTGCGATGACGTTGCGAAGACGGCGGAGAGGCATCCGGAAGGACAGTTGTCAGGTGCATTCCTCGTAGCGGCAGTGCGAGTCGTCGCAGACTGCACGAGGCGAAGGTCCAGATCCCACTCCCGACAGAGGCCTCCGGCGTCGAGCCTGTGCAGGACAGTAGGGAATGGAGGAATGGGGTACAATTATAACTACTATTACTACCATTCTTCCATTACCTACTAACCAAAAGGGAAGAACACGCCTTGAGCAAGACTGTTTCTTAGGCGGCATGCCTACGTGGTGTGATCGGCGACCCTCGAAAAAGATTCGCCCCTCTAGGAAGCCAGAGAAAGCTGTGACGACCTCCTGCAGTCCATCTCGGCGATTCTCTCCAAAGAGGTGCGAAATAGCAGGTGTCAGTTTCCGTTAGAGTGCTTCGGGCTCAAGTCAAGATTGCTAGTAGCTTTTTCCTAGCCTCACAGTCTCTCCCTTTCTGAGTCCCTTCCAGGACAGCCTCCGGAGGATTGGTGGGGTGGAGATCGAGGACTGCCTAAAGGGTTAGCTGGACATAAAGCTCTGGGTGCCATGACTCTTTCTGAAGGCTTTCCCTGATTCAGCTGACTTCTCTCAGCCTCGCAGCTACCAGGTACCATGTCAGGCTTTTCTCTTGCAGCCTTAGAGTATCAGGTGGTCAAGCCATCAGGTCACCAGAGGGACAGACGGCAGGTCTGGACTTTTCATTGATCCTCGCCCCGTGAAGCTACTTCTGAAGCCTCTTTGTCTATGCCCCGAAGCGGGCCTGTTCGGAACCAAGCGTGCAAGGTTTAGTCAAGGGCCGTGGAGACGTTTCGAAACGCAAGACTAGCTGCAAAAACTGCAATACTTGTAGAAAAAGCATCATAGGCAGTGCCAACTTTCCAGATTCGCGAGGTTGTTCTTTCCGAGGTCATGCTCGTTAGGATGGTAATGTCGGCAAACGAAATCTGGTATTCGAAGCGGCCTTGTACAGGGTGTGCAATGCTGTCCTACTACTAACTCGGTAGGATGTTCAAACCGACGCCAACGAATGCAGCTGACTTTTCACGTGCCCATGAAACTACTCGGTGCCGACGTTTCGTAACTAGTGCTCCTCAGGGCTTTGGGCACGATAAATGCTGCGCAATGTGAAAAAGGTCACGCGCAGGCTTCACCTGCACATAACCCTTCACTCGATGGCTGCTGCTGTAAAAAAACAGCCGCAGCTATCGGCTGCGGCGTACGCCGGTGCGTTCATTTTGTGATCCCTTGCCGCTTATTTAGCATTATGAGAATCTCGTGTGGAGAGGCTGGGAAGTTAAAAAGAATTAATTCTTCATTTTTTCATCATTTTTGTCATCATTTTTTCATCATTTCTGCCTTCGTTTGGTCCATGATTTCCTGGGAAGCCCATCGATTTCTAGGGATTCTAGGGAATTCCTAGGAATCCTAAGGAAAATCCACCAAAACGATGAACAAATGATGAAAAAATGAAGATTTCTGGTGGGGTTCTTGGCCCAGAGCCCCAGGGTGCAGTTTTTAGGAATGCTTCAAGGAATCTTCATTTTTTCCATCATTTTTTCATCATTGTTTCTTCATTTTGGCCTTCGTTTGGTCCATCCCTTCCTAGGAAGCGTAGAGATTTCTAGGGATTCTAGGGAATTCCTAGGAATCCTAAGCAAAATCCACCAAAACGAAGAAAAAATGATGAAACAATGAAGATTTCTGGTGGGGTTCTTGGCCCAGAGCCCTTTTAGAAATGCTTCAAGGAATCTTCATTTTTTCATTGTTTTTCATAATTTTTTCCATCATTTTTCATCATTTTTTCTTCATTTTGGCCTTCGTTTGGTCCATCCCTTCCTAGGAAGCGTAGAGATTTCTAGGGATTCTAGGGAATTCCTAGGAATCCTAAGCAAAATCCACCAAAATGAAGAAAAATGATGAAAAAATAAAGATTTCTGGTGGGGTTCTTGGCCCAGAGCCCCAGGGTGCAGTTTTTAGGAATGCTTCAAGGAATCTTCATTTTTTCCATCATTTTTTCTTCATTTTGGCCTTCGTTTGGTCCATCCCTTCCTAGGAAGCGTAGAGATTTCTAGGGATTCTAGGGAATTCCTAGGAATCCTAAGCAAAATCCACCAAAACGAAGAAAAAATATGTTTTTTTCATCATTTTTTCTTCATTTTGGCCTTCGTTTGGTCCATCCCTTCCTAGGAAGCGTAGAGATTTCTAGGGATTCTAGGGAATTCCTAGGAATCCTAAGCAAAATCCACCAAAACGAAGAAAAAATGATGAAACAATGAGGATTTCTGGTGGGGTTCTTGGCCCAGAGCCCCAGGGTGCAGTTTTTAGGAATGCTTCAAGGAATCTTCATTTTTTCATTATTTTTTCTTTATTTTTTTTATGTTTTCTTCATTTTGGCTTTCGTTTGGTCCATTCCTTCCTAGGAAGCGTAGAGATTTCTAGGGATTCTAGGGAATTCCTAGGAATCCTAAGCAAAATCCACCAAAACGAAGAAAAAATGATGAAACAATGAAGATTTCTGGTGGGGTTCTTGGCCCAGAGCCCCAGGGTGCAGTTTTTAGGAATGCTTCAAGGAATCTTCATTTTTTCCATCATTTTTTCATAATTTTTGCTTTCGTTTGGTCCATCCTTTCCTAGGAAGCGCAGAGATTTTTAGAGAGAAAAAACGAAGGCTGCCGCCAAAAATGATGAAACCAACGAAGAAACAAACGAAGAATAAATGATGACCGAAATGAAGAAAAAATGAAGAATTAATGAATCAAGGATACCCAGTATGTAGCCGGGCAAGAATCTCATAAATTTAGCAAGCTTGGCTGGAAGGCTGCGACTTCAGCGATGCCACGAGCGTGCATGTTCTCTACGGCAAATCTTGATGTGGAAGCTTGTATAGTGGGATGGCATTTAAGAGCGATGCGAGATATGCGATCGCAAGGTTCGCGCTTGTACAGTATGCCTAGATGGATGTTCTTTTTCAATATCTTTCGGTGGCCCGCAGCGCACTTCAGGGATGTATGATAGTTACCTGCGAGGCTAGACTGATAAGGCTAATCGGCTTGGATGAGTTCCGAAACCCCATTTTCATCAACATCACCGATATGGTGGGGAGGAAGATGATGGTCATAATGATGATGTTCATGATGTGATCATGATGATGACGATGACGGCCATGGTGACGACGATGATGATCATGGCGATGATGTTGACAGGGTTATTCTGCAATTCTCTTGCTGTTCATGAGGGTGATGACATTGATTTAGAGGAAGCTGGGATGCTTCAATTTCGACAACTTGGCCATCGCGGTACACATCACCACCGCATCAGGGACAACATCATCAACAGGTCCAAACGCTCGTCATCATCTCATCTTCATCTTCAATCATCATGCTGACGTACGCGAACAGGTATTGCAGTAGCATTCACAACAGGACGACGGTGCGTACCGGAACGTCACGCTGCCCATCGCCATCTTCCTGAGCAAGGAGAGCTCCTGTCGCGACATTATCGAGGCCTCGACCCATCATTCTTGCAACGACATGCGAAGCTGGCAGCTGTTACACCCATAAGGCCATAAGTGTATGATTGCGAACAGAGCTCAGATTCTGACTCGGGTAAGCTTGGCCGTTGGTCCTGACTTTGTCGAGCTTCAGATGCCACTGTTGCGTAGTCGCTTAAACTGCTCCACCAAAGTAATAAATCTGAACAGGGAAAGCCCGAACCTGGAGCACTTGTATCATGGTTCGGCTGGAAGGCCTTCTTTCGCGAGCCAATGCCTGAAGCCGAAGCGCCGGAAGCTGACTCAGATGAAGGCGGCAAACTTCGAGCGGTTTTGGGGGAGTTCCTTTCATGTGGGATCTCCAGCAAACAGCGATTTGGTCGAGCCTAGAGGCCTAGAGCATTTGGATGTATGGGCTCAGGGTTGCAATGAAGTGGACCCCGCAGGTTAGAGAATCTGTCTAGTTGGGCAAACCTGTGGCAACTGGGTCTTGCGGCGTGCTTAACCCTCGATGCAACACCTACGCTGGAAGCCAGTTCCGATTCGCTTCCACACGTCCACACTCATACCTTCATCACGCGCGCCTTCCCGGCGAAAGTCTTGGGTTTTGGGTCAGTTGGGGTGCGGCTTCAACATGATGCTCTGCTTGGATTCAATTACTGGTGGCGCCCGCGGCGCATGACCACCGTGCAGGGGCGGGTGGCAAACGATCGGAGATTAGCAGATGATTCAACGCACAGAAAACTGTGGTATTCTTGTCTTGAGTGCTGGACTGCGAAGGGCTGGAGTTTTGGGGCAAAGTGAACTTCAGTCAACCAGTCTATCGCAGCTTCCGTTTTGCCGGCGTAGTCTTGCTTGCTGATTGTTGTCTCCAACAAAGCCAACACACTTCGTGCAGCAAGTTTCGTGACCACGCCTCTTTCTGTAGATGCGTCCCCATAGAATCGGAGTTCCGAGAAAGAAGGATCATCCCCCCAAAACCGTAATTGCAAGAAGCTCCCGCATCTCAATGGGCGTGGACCAGGCAGGCTGTCTACCTCCTCGAGGTCCCTGCGGCGCTCGAAGTCCTTCTCGAAGCGACGAGCAGCCCGCAAGCAAGGGATGTAAGTGATTTTTTGCAGACTTTCTGAGAGCTGAGCAGCCAAGAAGGGTGAGTAAGCCGACCACAGCTCGCAGCTGAGGCAATCAGAGGCTTGTGGCAGAGCCTGCGTGCGCACCCTTGGCTTAGGTTGAGTGCAGATTACAGCTTTGCGCTGATGCAGGGTTTGCCCGGACATTCTCAGGCGAGTTGGGCTCTCATGTCCCAGGATCCCACTGCCAGCAGCTCGACTCGCTGAAAGTTCTGTGTACTTCCTGCCTTTCTCACAGGCTGTGGTCACCTCGTGCATTGCCGGCCGCTGACATGGCTCAAGGTCGAGATTGTGGCAGTTCCAAACCATCTATTGAAGCAAACATCTCCAGAGCCTTCAAAGCAGCCAACCCGCTGCAGATGCAGTGCACCACAAAACACACTGTAGATGTGACCTGTTATGCGGGCAGACACCGAGCATGGCGCCCGATCGTGGGGCTCGCATCCAGGCCCGGTTCACGCATGCGACGCCACCATGTCCACGTTGCCGCCGACCGTCTCCGATACCCTCAGCCATCCTTGCCCATACTGTTGTGATTCCTGCACAAGACGCCGAAGCAGCATTACCACAGTTCGATGGTACCAGGCAGGGTCTGGAGAAGCGCGCCCGGCTGCACAGAACCCTGTCGGAGCTCGTGGGTTGTTCGTGCAGTTTAGTTGTGTACAACGCACTTAGAATTTGAGCCCCAGTTTCGTGTCACGCCTCATGATTGCTACTTGTGGCTGCGGCCGGGTCGTGTTGGCTTGAGCGATCAGGAGAAAGTGTTTTTTCCAAGTGTTTTGTCCTGTTATGGCGTTGTCATTCTGCAGGTTGCTGGCATGTGTGACTGCTAGTTATATCTTCGTGTTGCTACTTAATTACACATATTCGTACGAGCAGAGATACTTTGTGATTTGTTCATCCCTCGTCGTGTGCGACTGATTCTTGTGCTTTCCGTTTGGTTGGTGACGTACAGAGAGATATCCTTCGCCCCTGTTCCACAACACTAGATCCGAATTTTCACTGGATGACAGGCCTTGAGTAGATTGAAAATTTTGCTGGAGAGGCGAGTCTGCCACATGCAGAGATGGAGTGAAAGCAAGGTCCAGGCCTATCTTGATCAGGGTGATAGGATGGCACACAAATCGAGATGTACCAAGTCCGCAACATTGTCGGATGCACTCGTACCATCCGCTGTTGAGGAGCAGACGGAAGAAGCAAAAACACCCTGAACCCTCCCAAGCACTCTCCTGAGTAGCCCTTGTAGTAGCCCCATAATAGAGCCCCCTCAGTAAAAAAAACACCGCAAAAATCACCTAAGGAATTTTCCAGCTCCTGGTGGTGGCAATCGCCCAAGGCTTGGCCAGGAGGCTCTTGGAACGGCCGAGCCTCCACCGCCTTTTCATTTGTTTGGAAGTCGCAGGAGCAGGAGCTGGAGCTGTGGGGGGCCTTGGGGTTTTAGGGGTTTCGGCGTGTTGTTTTGAGTTCTTGCTGGACTCCGGCTACGTACTACTTGCAGTGTTGGATAAGGGCTTCGTCGTTGTGCCTTTTGGCCAGAGGAGTCGCACCTGAGGGCTTTGCACCGTCTTGGGCTTCATTACCCGGCCTCAAACTACCATAACCTACTTTTGTAGCCTTTATCATGAACCAGACTATAGAATTTGCAAGCAGCCTCATTCCGAACTTCATGACGCATGACATTTGCAGAGTTTCTGATTCTTGGGTTCTACCTCCGAGTTCTTTGATTCAGGAAACTTCATTGCTTGAAAGCCTCCGGCCTGCTTAGGAGAGTGGTGGCAAGCTGCCTGGCAAGACGGGGACGAAACCCTGAAGGCCGAAACATCTGGAGTGCGACTCTGCGTTGTTGGGAATCAATCAATGCATCGATACCCCCCCAGCAAAAAGCAACTCTGCTGATGAAGGCCCGTAGAATATTGCCCGAAGAAGCAGAAACGGATAGCAGTGCAAGAGGTCCATATGGGATGAGTGCGCACTTTGACTGCTTTGTGCACAGAGCTGAAAGTTGTCAACCCATGGTGAGGGCAATGTGCGCCGGTGGAGGGCGCGTGATCCCAGCAGCTCCGACTCAGGTGCTTGCCTGCAGCTTCTGTAGCCCAAAACTTACATCAAGGGCAAAACTTGCAAAGTAATTTCGTCTCTAAGTTTCCCGGCGGTGCTTACTCGGACTGCAGTCTGAATGGAGTCTTTATGCACACGAAGTACTGAAACGGCAAGGGAACAGCGTCATGAAATTCGTGGCCTCGAAGCCTCCGGCGAGGTGAGAGACTCGACGCTGCTCTAGCAGTGGAACGGGACGTTGAGGCCGAAGGTGCCCGACCCAGAGCGTGTTCTAGCAGCCACGAGCAGCAAGTCCTTCGGCCGGGGTCTCCTGGCAGCGCTACGCCCCAAATCCTCGCGAAACCGAAGAACCCATGGGGCGTGACAGGAGCAGGCATGGAGCCGCCAGAAGCCAGTTCATGAGCACGAACCTAAACCGCTTTGGTCGATGCGAGCACCAGAGAGAGCGAGCAACATGTGAGCTTTTAATGTGTGTTCCGAAGGGCACGGGGCTCGAGACCGAGCTAGCAGCTGCGGCAGGAAAAGAAAGGGCGTTGCGAGCCTTTTTCGTGCAGTGGCATCTGCGAGCCACTTTCATGGCAGCGGAGCTCACCTGGTGAATCCGGGGAGCTGCCGACCACTCCGCTCTGCGCTGCGTGCCCGAAATTCTTCGAGGCAGAGGTGCCTGATTGGTGGCTTCTGGCCTTGCTCTTTTACAAGCTTCGGCATTACCTCAAGGAGATCCGGCGGCCAGTCGCACGAGACCTTCTACACGATTCTCCGGAAGGTCATCAGAGAGGCGACTGATGTCACATGCCGGGAAGGACAGCGAAGTGCCCTCGTGGAACGGGGACCCAGGAACGTTTGAAAGGTTTGCCACCGAATGCCGGTGGTACCAGCACTCTCTGAAGCCAAATGAGAAACCACTTGCGGCGCCACGCGTGTGGCACCGCTTGGTGGGCTCTGCAAAATCAGTGGTGCGCAACTTGGATCCGGCCGTCTACAGCACGTCAAATGGATTGGACAAGTTGCTAGACGTGTTGAGGCGCAGCCCCCTCCAGAGGCTGCCTGTGCCGGACACGTTCCAACGTCTGGAACGGTGGTCAGGGCTACACAAGAGGCAGGGTGAGACGATTCCTCAGTTGCTTGTGCGAGAAGAGGAGCTGTTCGTGGAACTGCAGCAGAGTCTCATTAGAGCCCGGGGCCTCAATGGCAAGGACACCAAGATCATCATTGCTGAGGATGCGGCCCCTGCAAGCTACGAGAGCGACCGTGAGGCTCCGGACGAGGACCCAAAGGAGGAGGAGAAAGAAGCCAGCTCACCGTCGCCCAAGGGTGCTCGGCCCGCTTCCGAGCCCTCTCCCACATCATCTACGAGGACTAAGACAACGAAGGCGACGAGTTCATCCCTTGGCTTCTTCGAGGACGAGCTTCGGGGCTATCGATTGCTGAAGGCATGTGGTCTTCAGCCTGCAGAAAGACAGCAAGTGCTTACCCTAACGGGCAACAGCACCACCTTCCAGTCGATCAGGCAGGCGCTTCGGGCCATGTACGACGAGGGGGTCACGACAGACCTCGGGTCCCGAAGACACCGCCCTTCCGCCTGGTGGTTGCATGGCGAAGAGGACAGCTACTACACTGGCGGTTCCTGGGACGACTGGGCTTGGGATGCTCCACAAGCCTCCGAGGATGCTTTTTGGTACGAGGACCCGTCTGGCTGGCCGGACGACCAGCTGCCCGACGATTGGGCATACTATGCCCCAGCCGATACAAATGGCCCGGGCGATGATCGGCCAGCCGACGTGCCACCTACCGAAGAAGAGAAAGCCTTGCTGGAGGACGAAGCCGAGGCCTTTGCCATTGCGGACGAAGCACAGAAGACCCTGGCCCAAGCAAGAGAAGCTGTGGCAAAGGCACGCCAGGCTCGAGGCTACTATCCTCTGGGAGGCAAGGGATCCTCGGGAAGTGCTCCTCCGAGAGCGTTCGGGGCCAGGCCAAAAGGGAGCTCTGGAGGCAAGGGTCCCTCCAAAAGCTTTGGCAAGGGCGGTCCCTGTACCGCTTGTGGTCGCTTTGGCCACCGCTACTGGGAGTGCCGCGACCGCGGCTCTGGCAAGAAAGGTTTCGGCAAGAAGGGACCACCTCGCAAAGGCAAGGGCAAAGGATGGAAGGGCACTGGAAAGGACACCGGCGGCGAGTACTACCAGAACGCTGGCGACGAGTACTACCAGACCGCCTCGGACGACTACTACCAGGAGTACTTCCAGGATGCCGGCTTTGCACATGCTTTCTTGCTTTCGGTGGTTCCCGAGAATCCGAGAACTGTGTCCATGCCGGTGCTCGGGGTTCTCGACAACTTTGTGCTGTCGGTCGGCTCTGAGACTTTGGGCGGCCGTTTGCGCCCAAGCCAGGTGATTGTGGACACTGGCGCGACAGAGTCAGCGTGTGGCATAAGGACGATGGAGAAGTTCTTGGAGTCTTCTGGGTGCCGGTACGACGTGTGCCTGAGTGATCGCCCGACCTTTCGGTTTGGAGATGGCCGGACACTTCAGGCCCTCTCCCGCATCGACATGTACACGCCGGCCCCTGGAACGATCTCTGTCTACACCTTGGATCACCCGAGCTCCTTGGACACACCTCTCCTCTTGGGAGGCCGAACCCTTCGACAGCTGAAAGCAATTGTGAATTACGGAGATGAGGTCCTGATGTTCCTTAGACGAGGAGGACAGCTCGCGTTTCTTCCTTTGGTCTCCACCATGGGAGGCCACATGGTCGTCGACCTGGCATCTCGGAGCACGCCTCTGGGACCAGTCCAGGAATACCTGAAAAGCGAGCTGGGCATTGTTCTTCCTGATGACGATCGAATGGTGATGAGAACAATGATGACGCCTGGGTTCTCTGATGAGTGCCGACGCGGAACCGGGAAACATCTTCCCGGAACGGACGAGGATGACGCCTCACCGAATGTTGGGACGGCTCTGCAGTTGATCTCAAATGTGAGGGAAAAGGAGTGTTGTCAGCCAGAGAGTTGCGGATGCTGCCGAGTGTCATCACAGACATGTCCAACCATGTGTCATCAACACGAAAGTGAAGTTCGGTGCGCTTTCGCATTTCCTTTGTTTCGAGAAGAGAGCATGCCACGGGACGGAAAC